CATTTAAATGCATACATTTATATATACATATTTAATAGATAGATAGATAGATCTGCACAAATTTTAACATTTCACTATGGTACAAAAGCAATTTTTTCTTGTTTACAAACCATAAAAGTGACATTTTTCATTTTGTATCATTTTCCCCACTGATTTTCTCACGTTGTGTCTCCCCTTTCCTGCTCCTCGTTGTGTCTCCACACTTCCGGCTGAAACCTCGGCTCGCTGGCGTTTGTCGAGTCGGGGTTCCGCCAACGCGCGCGCGCGTGTTTAACGCGCGCGCGCGCGTTGGTGGAAAGGCGGAAAGACTGGTTTGTTGCCCGATGTCGCGCTGCGTGTTTTTGCACACGCGTCGTCTGCGGAGAAGCATTTCATAGAGATGACGGAGAGGTCATTTCATAGAGGGTTCCCACTTGCTGTCTGGATGTTGGCTGACGGAGGACCATTTTATAACCAATTTTCTCTATAAATGCTTCGTAAAGCATCCTAGGGAACAAGTAAGGGGTATTAATAAACCATTTAGTATACCTGTAGTATACCTGTAATATTCCAGTCTGGCCATGAATCTATACAATATATATATATATTTTTTTTTAAATACATACATATATATATATATACATATATATATATGTGTGTGTAGTATATCTTTAAAATACCTTGTGTTTTCATTAAAAATGTCGCTTACTACACTTTTAATATTCCTTGATGGTATATACCGTATTAATTATATACCTTTAATATACCATTTAACTGACCTTGAACATACCACTATACCTCTAACATACCTTTTACTTAGTCAAGGCCTGGATTCAAGAAGTTTCCCCAGCAAAATTTGCAAACGTTTGCAAATTTTGGGATTCAAGATTCAAGATTTTGGGGAAAAGTTCTTGAATCCAAGCCCTTAGATCTTGGGGTTCTGGATGCCAGTCAGGGCTTGGATTCAAGAACTTTCCTCAGAATCTTGAATCTTGAATCTTGAACCCAGGAAAATTTGCAAACGTTTGTCTTTTTTTGGGATTCAAGGTTCAAGATTCAAGATAATTTCTGGGGGTTCAATGTGTGTGTGTGCACGTGAGTGTTTACATGGTTATTGGAATTCTATTGTATATATATATATATATGGCACCCCCCATAAGACAACCAAAACATGGCCCAAAATTGCAACCAAAAATATAAGCTCAAAATGTGCATAACTTACTGCAAACCAAAACATGACCCAAAACTGCAACCAAAAATATAAGCTCAAATGTGCATAATTTACTGCAAATACCAGTAAAACCGCAAACAGGTAGGTCTTGGGGGGATACCATATATATATATATTATATGTATATAATATATATATATTTGCATTTTTTTTAAATATTTATATGTGTACATACATGTATACATATATAATATATATATAATATATATATATATATATGTACATATATATATATATGCTCTATAAGTGGTATCTAAGTCCATCCAATGCTATGGGTGTCATTTACCGCATCATTTCAGTTAAAGTGGTGGTTTACTCCAATGATACTGAAAAATAAATTCCAAAATCGGAGATGGTGACTGTACTCATTGGATGATATTGGGCGGATCTCACTATACTGTAATCATAGTGGCTTCCCAAATCCAATGCGTGTTTTTTTTTATTATTTCGACAAAACAGACCTATGTAGCCTTTTTGTGATCATACCCAAATATCATATAGGTGGCTTCATATGTATATATATATACACGTCACTATATCTCCATCATATCCCCACAAATTGATTGGTGGCAAAGCCCAATCGTCATACCCATTACATTACCACCCAACACGTACAAAACCAAATCCAGAGATGTATTTAAAGATAAATAGATAGTTAGATAGATAGATAGATAGATAGATATATTAGATAGATTCGGTGGGTTAGATAGATATTAGATAGATATTATATAGATATTAGATAGATGTTAGATAAATGATAGATAGATATTAGACAGATGTTAGATCGATGCTAGATAGATATTAGAAAGATATTGGATAGATATTGGATAGTAGATAGGTAGACATAGATAGATCGATCGATCGATCAGATAGATAGATCAGATAGATAGATAGATGGATGGATGGATGGATAGATAGATAGATAGATAGATCGGTAGATAGGTAGGTAGATAGATAGATAGTTAGATTTGTAGATAGGTAGATGGGTATTTAGTAGATAGGTAGATAGATAGATCAGATAGATAGATCAGATAGATAGATCAGATCGATAGACCAGATAGATAGATCAGATAGATAGATGGATGGATGGATAGATAGATAGATCGATGGATCGATCGATCGATAGATCGATTGATAGATAGATAGATTAGATGGATAGATGGATAATGGATAGATGGATAGAATGGAAAGATGGATAGGTAAATGGATAGATGGATAGATGGGAAAATGGATAGATGGAAGAATGGATAGATAGATAGATTAGATAGATAGATAGATAGATAGATAGATAGATAGATAGATAGGTAGATAGATAGATAGGTAGGTAGGTAGATAGATAGATAGATGGATAGATAGATAGATAGATTTAGAGATAGATAAAGATAGATATAGATAGATATAGATAGATAAAGATAGATATAGATAGATATAGATAGATATAGAAAGATATAGATAGATATAGATAGATATAGATAGATATAGATAGATATAGATAGATATAGATAGATATAGATAGATATAGAAAGATATAGATAGATATAGAAAGATATAGAAAGATATAGAAAGATATAGATAGATATAGATAGATATAGATAGATATAGATAGATATAGATAGATATAGATAGATATAGATAGATATAGATAAATATAGATAGATATATATATAGATAGATAGACAGACATTTTTTTATCACGAAAGGTAGCTCCAGAGGGGCTACCTTGAGTTTTACTTTACGAAGTAAAGGGGAGGGCGGCCAGCCCCGTTACCTGATTCTTCAGGAGATTGCTAGTCATTTTAGTTCCCCCCCCCCTCCACACCTCCCACGCACCCTAAGAGCAGACTCAAAACATTGTAATTTACAGTATTTTTGTTCTTTTCGGATCAAGAAACCACATTTTGCTACATGTGAAACCTCCGTAAATACCAGTGTTTTTGCTAGGTGCTGGCCAAAAAACACTGTAAATACCGTGCTTTTTACTACCAGAGGCAAAAAACATCGTAAATACTGTGGTTTTGGGCTTCCGACCCGCCAAAAACATCGGTATTTACGGTGTTTTTTGCTCCGAGAGTTGCAAAATCACGCGAAAACACCACCGATTTGACGATTTTCGGCCACTACGGAACCGAGCAAAAACGCTGCAGGGGTAACACCAACACCAACAACAACAACACCAACAGCAACAGCAACAGCAACAACAACAACAACGACGACAACAACAACAACAACACCAACACACAACGCACAATGCACAACGCACAACGCACAATGCACAATGCACAACGCACAACGCACAACGCACAACGCACAACGCACAACACACAAAACACACAACACACACACAACACACACAACACACACAACACACACAACAACACACAACAACACACAACAACACACAACAACACACAACAACACACACACAACCACACACAACAACACCCACACACAACAACACACAACAACACACCACAACACACAACAACACACAACAACACACGCAACACACAACAACGCAACAACGCAACAACAACAACACACAACAACACACAACAACACACAACAACACACCACAACACACAACAACACACCACAACACACAACAACGCACAACAACGCACAACAACACACAACAACACACAACAACACACAACAACACACAACAACACACAACAACACACAACAACACACAAAAACACACAACAACACACAACAAAACACAACAACACACAACAACACACAACAACACACAACAACACACAACAACACACAACAACACACAACAACACACAACAACACACACAACACACAACAACGCAACAACGCAACAACAACACACAACAACACACAACAACACACAACAACACACACAACAACACAAACAACACACAACAACACACCACAACACACCACAACACACACAAGAACACACAACAACACACAAGAACACACAACAACACCACAACACACCACAACACACCACAACACACCACAACACACAACAACACACAACAACACACAACAACACACAACAACACACAACAACACACAACAACACACAGCAACACACAGCAACACACAGCAACACACAACAACACACAACAACACACAACAACACACAACAACACACAACAACACACAACAACACACAACAACACACAACAACACACAACAACACACAACAACAACAACAACAACAACAACAACAACAACAACAACAACAACAACAACAACAACAACAACAACACCATCAGCAGCATCAGCAGCAACAACAGCAACAGCAGCAGCAGCAGCAACAACAACAACAACAACACGCACACAAACAATACCAACACCAACAACACGACCAACAACACCAACACCACCAACAAACCCAACCACACCAACAACACTAACAACACTAACAACACCAGAAACACTACCACCACCAACAACACCAACAACACCAACAACACCAACAACACCAACAACACCAATACCAAAACACCAACAACACCAACACCACCAGCACCACCAACACCACCAACACCACAACCACCACCAACCCCAACCACATCGCCGAAGCCTTTCAGTCGCTTTTACCAGACTCCCTTCATATTTTTGGAAAGAAAATGGCCGCGTCGCTTTTACTAGACTCCACTTTATGTATTTTTCCCTCCCCTCTCCCCTTCATTTTTTCTTCGGTTCCTTTCTTGCTTACCTACCTTTCGTGTTCCCCCTCTCAAGTTACACTCAATCCATGAATGGAACTCTAGCGTCCTGTAAACGTTTACCCACCATTTGCAAATCAGGTCGTCAAACCACCCTGGAGACCTCGGGAGCGTGGAGTCGTCAAAGCACGCTGGAAGTACCCAGTGTCCACGTGATGCCACCGGCACCTGCGGCAACGGCGCCTGCGGCTTCAACGGCTGCGGCCACGGTGGTCCCGGTCCCAGCAGCGTCGGAGAAGAGCGGTCCTGGGCTGAAGGTGGCTGAGTCCTAAGGGCGGCTGGATCATATGGTGGATTTTCCAGGTCATGTTGGGTGGTACCCCCGGTTCTTGGATGTTGGTTGATAACAAACAGAGTAGTATTGTTCATGTAGCTACCCCCCCCAAAAAAATAAACATAAAATGCAAAATGAGATCTATATATTTAACCTAGTTACAAAACACTGTGAGTTTCTCTGAAAGTAGGGCAACCCTCGAGTCGGTATTAAGATTATTAAGATATCTACTTCGGATAATTTCCCATTTTCAGACAAACCAAAACATGATGTGGCAGGTTATAACAGTATTAATATCACTAATAATTATAAAATATATTCCATCAAATATTTGAACGCTACGTTAAAAGACGGCTAGTGCATTCTTATGGGTTGAATAGCCCCAAAGAAATATATCCCTAATATATGACCAGGCCAGAACTGCCAGATCCGATGGCGGTCCGGTTTCGTTAGGTGCCAGGAGAAGACCCGCATCTACACGAAGTGCTTCAGGTGAAGAATACGTTCATCCAGACGCCTGACGCCAATAATTTGTTACGTAAACTTATCTGGTTGGTGGCTGGTTTGGAACATTTTTTATTTTTCCATATATTGGGAAGAATCATCCCAACTGACTAATATTTTTCAGAGGGGTTCAAACCACCAACCAGGATTTGTTACGTAAACTTACGTTTTTTTTCCAGGAAAATCGGTTGCAAATTGATGTAAAAAACGTCGTGATGTGAGTTTTTTTCTACAGGGTACCCTCCGGATTCCTCCGGTCATTGGTTGCATGTGGTTACGTAACGAAGAATTGCCACTTCCATGACGAGACATGATTCCCAGGAGAAAAAATCACCCGTTGCTGCCTGGGATTTGATATGATAGATGATTTGGGCAGGAGGTTATGTAGCTACCATGTGCTACCTATTTCCTTGAAGCATAATAACATTTATATCTTTGCCAATGTGAGAATTTGCATTGGCCAACTAGTACTTGGGGGCTTTCGAATAGGCTGATGTCGAATACCCAACAGTCTTGTGTGCAAAAGCAGTTGCTGAAACGACGATGCCAGGAACTCTATACGTCCCCAACACCGTGAGTTGTTCCGTGATATTTGGGCAAAGTTTCTACAATGAACTGTGCATAATGAAATCTAGATATCGCAAAATTTCAAACCTGGGAGGTTTTGCCAACAAATTACAATAATATTGCCCTGTTGTTGGTTGCATACTTCTTCTTCAATCTGCAGAGTCTCCATGTAACGTCTATATCATGAACCTGGAATCCTCTCAACCCCGTGGTGGTTGCACATGTTGTGTATGTTCAACATGCTTCAACCCCATGATCTCAGACCACCAGCCGCAGAGCGCCGCGCTTCTCAGGATAGATTCACAAGATCAGAAGGAGATCAGCCGAAGCCATTCAGTGCCACATTTTTGATGCCCGCGAGCCGGACAATGTGGGACAAATGAGCGCCACGTGACAAACTCTGCAAAAACTTACCGTTGAGATGCATAAAATAGGATGGCCAGGGATAGCAGAAAAAGCAACCCTCACTGTAAACAAAATATGGTTTGTTGGAGGGAAACTGCTCAGGGTCCGTAAATCTCCTGCGCCTATTATTATGGTAGATTCCATTGGTACCCGGCGCCCGTCTACATCTCTTGGCATGGCACTGATTGGGACATGGGATGCATCCGCTGTGGGGATTGGCCGTTGCTGGTGCTCATTTGGACCATGCGCGTTAGGGGCAGCGGCTGCGCGGTGACGTTCTGGAACGCCGTTCCGAACTCATTGCTGCGCCAGTTTCCGGATTCTTCAGACTTTTCGGACCATGTTTTAGCATTTTTTAAGACCAAAATCCCAGGGAAAAGTTGGGATACAATGAAGAGATAGTGTAGTGAAGATATATTATCCGGCCAAGTGTGGGTCCCAGTGTGGGTTTTCCCAATAATTTTGGGAATGTTTATTGTATTTTATTGTTATATTTGAGACGGGACACGCCACGGAGGATAGGCCTAATCCATGGGAACGCTAGGCTTTTGATCGAGCATCATATTGGATTAATCATGGTTAATATATGTTAATATTGACTATCCGGTGGTTTGGACAATGATGCTGCTGATGATGATTTGATATATCAGATGTGCAGTAACGTATATATCATAATATTATAATTATATGATTACAATTATCATTAATCTCATTACTAGTCTATATATATATATATTACATGTTGCTATCCATGGGCCATGTGGTGAGGGATCTAAAGGAGCCACGCGGGGATGCCCACCTGCTGAGAAAAGGTTCCCATTTTGACACAGGCCCTGGCATGGTCTTTGGTTCTTTGATTCAACGTGACTTAGAATAATATGAAGCAATTGTACACATAGATGTTCTTTGGCCATCTTTGGCCCACATTTGCATAATGTGGCCCACAACCTCCCAGTTCTGTTGGTTTCTCAAGCCCATCGAATTATTAGAGAGAAACTGTAAATCCAAAAGGGCAAAGCCGGGAGTGTGGCGTCGCAGATTTGTCCGCATGGAGGGCACAGACAAAAACCGTAAAACCTAATTAGTTTAAGTTATAAACGGAGGGGTATTTTTTTTTTGCATTTTTTTTTTGGCTTCTGGCTTTTGGCTTTTGGCTTCTGGCTTTTGGCTTTTGGCTTCTGGCTCCTTCGGTTTCTGGCTTCTGGCTTGTATTTGCTGCATTTTGGAGCCAAAATCTCTGATTTGCGTGCTATTTGCTGCAGTTTGGAGCCAATTTGCATGCCCATTTGGCTTTTGGCTTTTGGCTTTGGCTTCACTTGACTCTTGGCTTTTGGTTTTTGGTTTTTGTTGTTTTTTTTGGCTTTGGTTTCACTTGGCTTTTGGCTTTTGGCCGCACTTCTGTTGAATGTATGTGTAGTATTTTTGTTTGCATATAACATTTCATAATTTCATAGAATACACTGCATATAAATTGCATGTACTGTAAACTGCACAGAAACTACAGTCAGTCGTAATATGAGCTTATATGCATGTTGCTGTGAGAGGAATTGAGACCTGTTTTCAACAAGTGTCCCAACTACTTGCTGTTCCTAAAGTTCTTAAGATCCTATTTCAAGACACTTGTTGAACTGTTGTTCTCCAACTATATTTGCTTGAATTGTGTTTCGCCATGGTTGCATGGCAGTCAGAAGTTTCCCTGTGTACCTTTGAGTTTATATGCATGCTTATCGGAGAGAAACTGCAACCTTTTTCAACATCAAGTGTCCTAACGGGCTCTTTTTTTATGTCTGAAAAAAGTATCTCAGGACACTTGTTGAATCTGGCCTCCTACTATATCTATGTGAGTTGATGTGTGTGAAACCCTAAAGAGACCCTAAATGACACCCTAAACGAACCCTAAAGAAACTACAAATGAAAACCTAAAGAAACCCTAAATGACATCCTAAAGAAACCCTACAGAAACCTTAAATGAACCCCCTAAATGAAACATATTTTTTTGCATTGTTGCCTTCATTTTTCCACCGAGGTGCAAGTCGCATAGGACGCATTGCCCTGCCCCCCGCGCCCCCCACCCGCTTTTTTTAAATTAACCTGACCCTCCCCTTGCGACGACACCACCACAACCACAACAACCACAACCAACCACAACAACCACAACCACAACCAGCACCACAACCGCAACAATTATTCAAAGATAGATAGATCGATAGACAGAGGAATAACTGCGATAGAAATAGAACAACAACAGCAACAACAACAACAACAACAACATTAACGACAACAACAACGACAACAACAACAACAAGAAGAACAACAAGAACAAAGTAACAAGACCCATATACTCAAAAATTATTGAAAAGAGCCCTCCTTCCGCGCCCCCCACCCGTTTTTTTTTTTTAATTCCGACCCTCCCCTTGCTAGGAAGTCGACGACGACGACAACCACAACCACAACCACAACCACAACCACAACCACAACCACAACCACAACAATCACAACCACAGCCACGACCACCACCACAACAACAACAAGAACAACAATAACAACAATAACAACAACAACAACAACAACAAGAACAACAACAACAAGAACAATAACAAACAACAACAACGACACAACACAACAACAAGAACAACAACAACAACAACAAGAACAAGAACAAGAACAAGAACAACAACAACAACACAACAACAACAACAACAAGAACAACAACAACAAGAACAACAAGAACAAGAACAAGAACAAGAACAAGAAGAACAAAAAGAACGCGAAGAACAACAAGAACAACAAGAACAACAAAAGCAACAAGAACAACAGTAACAACAGTAACAAAGAACAAACAACAACAACAACACCAAGTCTAAAATCATGCAAAAGAGGGAAAACTAATGAGTAGGACGGAAAAATCGATGAACAACGCTAGAAAAGCAACGACAAATATAGAAAAACATAGAAAAACAATGCGAAAGCGAAGAAAAACAAGAAAAACCATCGAAAAAACAGGGAAACGCTAGAAATTTTTTGAAAACTATGGAAAACCGATGGAACGCGTTAGAAAATCCTAGAGAACTATGGAAAATGGAGGAAAAACGCTTGAAAACTAGCGAAAACAATTGGAAAATTGATGAAAACTGCTGGAAAAACAATGAAAAAGCAACCCAACCCGAACAACAAAAAAAAATGCCAACTTAATTCCGCGCCTGTAGTAAACTAAAGCCAACAAGAAGAGCTCTCATAGTAGTACAAAGTGACTCTCAGGGAGTTGCTTGAGGCAAGATCCCTTGCCACGCGAGACAAGTCAAAAATTGGGAATGGGATGTGGTCACCATAAAGGATGACATCCTGGGTGTGATGGACTGATGCCTCAATTCATTGTCCCCTCCCCTTCAAAGCCGGCTGCAACGGCTGCAACCCGTGGCCTAATTTTCCAATGGATCCCATTGATTGCTTCGCCATTGAGACGAGAATACGCATTTCTTGTTTGAGAATCAACTATTGTAAGAGGATAAATCATGGGTATGGAATGATGGGTTGTTTTTTCCAGACTTTTCGGGTTTGTTTGGAAACTATGTTCAATAGTGACAGCCGATAGCAATCATAACAACAAAATTTAAAATCTAACAAGCCAGATCAATTCAATTTTCAATAAATGTTGATGGAATCCGCGATTGGTTCACGCTTGATCCGCGATTATTCAACCTACCTGAATAGGCCCTGGCTGACGTGGTAACTGTGATATGTTGCCATGTCTTGATTATTATGTCCGTATGAATTGACAATGTTGGGATATGTATTCCCATAACATGTGGTATATGTGTCGGCAATGAATTGACACCGTTGGGATCGAGGTTGATTTGCGGTTGATCGGCGATTTAAGCTACCCCAGATACCTTTATTTTGGTCAACACCCATATATGATATCATATGATCATATTTATCCATATGCCCATATGCATATATATATATATGCATATATATAATATACATCATATGAGATCTCCAAACTTTTCTCACTCAAACATTTGCCATGGTGTTAGGAAAGTCTCATCACTTTCCCCAAAAGGACATGGCCATCGTGTCACGTCACGGAAGAATCCCAAGCTTCGCGAACGCCCGCGTTCGCCGGTTTCAAGTGACCATGGGACTCTGGGACCAGCCTGGATCCAGGATGAAACTGGCCATAGCTTGTGGATGATTTTCATGATTTATGTGGGTAAAAAAAAACTTTAGATGAGTTGAAGCCGTTTAAGCTGATTGATGATAAAACTTTTCTTTGGCACCAGTTTTGAGCCCTGCAATCGTGTATCTAGATGCTGCCGCAAGAGTTTTGCATGGACGACTGACCAGCTTGAAGTCTGCAGTTTCGTCGGAAAGCGGATTGCAGCGTTCGATGAGGAATTTACCAGGGCAAATCTTCCATTTTTAGGTGATTTTGAAGATGGAATTTAAGCAGGTAAATCACCTGAAAAGTATCTAATTATTGGAGACAAAAGATCTCCCCAATAGCTGGGTAATGCGAAAAATCAGGACATTTACCAACCCCTGTTTGCTCCCCATGTGGGCCCTCCAGTTACATTACAAGTTGGATATAATTATCAGTAAATGGGTATAGCCCTTGAAGGCGTGAAAAAATATGTAAGATGTTTGGATATAACCCTGGAAACTATGGCGTTTGATACTCAGGTATTGGGAAGTGGAACCGCAAGACAACACTCAGCGTTGCTGGTACTGGTACCAGCATGAAATGATGCAGGTGCTTCTAATTCGAGAACAGCAGGGGTCGTTGCGCACTTTACTTATTTTCCCATCATCCAAATTTGGAGAATCTATACTGTACGGAATGTCTTTTTTGTTCAGGCCATCAGCAAATCTCATGTGTTTCGGGCGTGTCAATCTTTGAGCAGCGAAATTTCGTTGCTGACTCTTGGGATTCCGTCCCTAACTCGCGAATTACCGAAACCTTTCTTTACTGCCTGACTAAGTCTTAGTATGCCTTAGTACCTTAGCACTTTTCTTTACAAGAGACACTTTGCAGAAGGGTACTATCCCCAAGTCTTGCCTCCTTTGGCAATCGTCTCATAGAAGACCAGACATATATATATATAATATATGTTTTCCCTCAGAATTCGCAGCACTGGACCAACTGATCTATCCTTGACAGCTTGAGGAGGTTTCACCGTGCTAGTTGTGACTCAAACAGCCTCAACATGTACCGCTTGTATCGTGGCCTTTTTATATCCTTTTTATTTTTCCCCCCATCGACTCCTGATTTGCATGACATCGCCCTGGCGAAGTGCAACCGTTTTGAAGCCGCTCACGCAGCTGACAGCGCTGTCCCGCCCAGTTCCGCGTTATACCACGGTCCAAGACCGTTCAACGGAACCGACGGCTCGCTTGAGACAGCTCGCTTGCTTGGCCACGTGCAGCGCAGGGATTGGTTGTCCTGCGGCCCAAGAGTTGTTGTAAGTTTTTCATAGTTTTTCTGTTTCTTCTGTAGATGTCAAGATATGATAGCATTATGTGGCATTCATGATGGCATATGAGAACCTGAAACTGATGCCTAGTTGAAAATCTGCAACCCGCCAAAAAATCCGGCAAATCATCATGAATTGTGATGAATAATATGGGATTAAAAATTCAACTAAGGTGATTTAATACGTTTATTCCGTTGTGAGGGAGACCGCCAAGCAGAATGACCAACAGATCATAGTTGTTGTTTTTTGATGGACCTTTTTGGGGCCGAACCCGTAAATTTAAGATGACAACCACCCGACCCTTTCCCAAATGCTCCTGGCATTCGCGCATCGTGAAGAACAGAAGATGACCCAAATGTATCCAAATGTGATCCTACGGAATGCCATGTGCATACCATTTATAGTAAAATCGATCATATTTTGTCATACGGGTGGAATTCGCGACTTCACTGCCAGGCGTCACCATAAACTAGTCATTTTGCCATGTTGGAAGCTCGAATTTGAAACACTTCACTGGGAAATGCAGAGAATGAATGGAGCATTTGGGTACGGCAGCTATCTGACCTCACAGTTTTTTATTCGGCGCTGAAGATTTGGGCGCTCCTCGGCTATTTGGAAGCCCGCCGAGCCGCGTTGCTGGGCGGATCCAGCAAAAAGTTGTGTTTTTCGTTGGCAGAATATAGGCACATTCTGAAATCAACCACAAATGGGTATGTTTGAAAATGGGCTTTGAAACACCCAGGTTTTGATCAAATTTGAGTCTTTCCTGTCGAAAATGTCCTTTTCCAGTTGTAGGAGAGATCGGATCAGATCCAGCGCAGCGTTGCCTTAAAATTCTGCGCGCTAGTGTGGGAGGCTGCCAGCCGGGGTGCAGTTTCAGTCATGAATGGATAGAACAGAACTAGATGTAGGAGTTAATAAGTGGATATGACTCAAATTATCCTTAACCTCAAGCTTATATCCATATAGATCCATATAGATTGTTTTTAAGAGGTTGTAATAGGTGATAACTAGTGATAACTGACTATATTAAACTATGGTGAAAAGTGTTCACTTATAACTGAGACTGCATCCCCGAGAATGCTCTGAAGAAACAAGCCTTCTCGGCAGTGACAGGATGGGACGGGGCAAAGATCTCAGCGGTCAGGTTTTTCGATCACGGTTTAACCAGCAGTTGAGGCTGGTTGATGGCTACCCGGTATGGTAGTTCGTGACATAGTGACATAGCTATCCCATAGGATCCATGTATGGTATATTTACCTACATTTGGGTCATTTATGGGGTAAATGTTGGTAAATATTCCATACATGGATCCTAAAGCTATGGAAATTGCACTTTTTTAATTGATTAATTAGATGTTTTCCTATTGAACGCTGTGATTTTCATGGATGTTCAATATAGACAGACAGACATGTTAAATTAAGAGGGTATAGAGTTAACATAGTTAACTACCCAATATGTTGGGGTTATCATCATCATTGATGGAACTCCATAGCTAACAGAGGGTTGCAAACACTACTCGGTTGTGAAGTTTGGACTTCACTTTCCAAAGCAACATCCACCAGAAAAGGAGTGGAACCAGCACCATCGACAACAATGTACTTGGACCGTTTGGTTTTTGCAATAGCCACAAAAGACAGATAAGTTCTATCATTCCAGAATAGTAATTTAATATAGTGTTGAATTCACTATTTCTTTTTTGAGGGAGTCACTGTAAGGGATGATTTGAGTGGATCTGTTATGATATTTTCGGTTTGCTGTGAGTATGTCCTGACCCAACTGCCGGCAATCCATTCCGATTCTTGACGTGTGGACTCCCCCCAACTTGGGGAGCGGAGAAAAAATGGGGTGACCATGCGTGCAATCAGCGCATTCTAGCTGGCCATATATGTACGGAGTTTCGATTAGCAAGTGTTCACTGAGTTGTGACCTTCGTTACATGAGCATGATATACATAGCCAGTTTTCTATACTGGATTCCTTAGCCCAGCTCGAAACATCGATGTTCGCAACATTTCGCGACGCTCCCTTAGGCTCGAAGACAAACGAACCGCGGCCGAACTTCGCACTGTCGTTTCAGGACACTGTCGAACCGGGAACCCCACTCGTTCCGAGCAAGCTTTGCCATGGCCATTAAGACCACCATTGCTTCCATGCAAGCAGCCAGCCGTGCTCTCGAGAGTGAAGACGTCCGAGACGTCAAGCGTTTGCAGGCGTGGGTGACGGGGTCCACGGTCCACACCGGGATTGTGAAGACTCCGTGTGGAGCAGGACGCAGCAGCAGCAGGAGCAGCAGGAGCAGCAGGAGCAGCAGGAGCAGCAGGAGCAGCAGGAGCAGCAGGAGCAGCAGGAGCAGCAGGAGCAGCAGGAGGAGCAGGAGCAGCAGGAGGAGCAGGAGGAGCAGGAGGAGCAGGAGGAGCAGGAGGAGCAGGAGGAGCAGGAGGAGCAGGAGGAGCAGGAGGAGCAGGAGGAGCAGGAGGAGCAGGAGCAGGTCTTTATATATGGAAATGATGTGTGGGATCAAGATGTCTTAAATGCTTTCTCAGGAAGTACGTAGAAATACTTGGATCGGGCAAAATTTTAGTCAGCAATGAGAAAACAATTTCGAAAATCTCACCATTTCATCCATCAAAAGGCTACTAAATGTTCCACTTTGAGATGGTAGAGTACCAGAGGATAATTTCCTCCTACTTGACAGGTTCCAAAACCTGCTTTTTTTGGGGGGGGGCTGCCTTTCTTGTGCAGCTACATGAATATTCTTCGTAGACAAAGAATTATCATTCCGTTTGTTTCAAAGCATTAGCCCCCAATCCCCGTAACTTCCAAACGCAAGCGCGCAATCGAATCGAGAAAAAATCGGAGAGCATTACCTTCACTCCACTCAACCATGGCAAACAATTTCCCGCTATCAATTTAAAGTCTGATTTCCTGAGTTTTTGTGGTTTCCCATGGTCTGAATGGTAGTAAAAAAAATGTTATTTTTAGCACAGGCCACAGCAGGCCACGTGCTTACCCGCAGGTCCACAAGCAAACGCGTTTGTGCAAGTTCTTTGCGGTGGGCCAATGTACACGCGGCAGCGCTTGTGCATTTGCCCATGGTCTCTTGGCATCAACTGCATGTGGTGGCCATTTTGGCCCCCCACGAAACATAATGTGTTTAAACATTAACATACGTTTTAAAATGTCTTAAATCATCCTTAATGTTAACCCCGGATTAATAACCCCCCCCTCGCCCCCCCTATAGGTCAACTAGGTCAACAAGGTCCAGTGAGGGATCCAAAAACCGAACCCCCCAAATAATGTGACAATTCATTAATCCATAAGCGATTATTATAAGATTCCTATGGGAAAAGATTGGAAAACCAATGATAAACCATCAGGTTCCTATGGAAAGTTTAGAAAATGAATAGTAAACCATCAAATTCCTATGGGGAAAGATTAGAAGATTAATGGTAAACCATCAGATTCCTATGGGGAAAGATAAGAAAACGTATGGTAAACCATGGGATTCCCATGAGAAAAGGTAAGAAAACCTATGGTAAACCATCAGATTCCTATAAGAAAAGATAAGAAAACCTTTGGTAAACCATCAAATTCCTATGAGAAAAGATTAGGAAACCTACGGTAAACCATCAGATTCGTATGGGAAAAGATAGGAAAACCAATGGTAAACCATCAGATTCCTATGAGAAAAGATTAGAGACCATATGGTAAACCATCAGGTTCCTATGAGAAAAAAATCCGCCCACACCGCTTTGGCGGTGAAGGCGTGCTTATTGGGGGGCAACAGCAACACTAAATGCTCAATGACATTTGTTAATATAGCAGTCGCTATATCAGCTTTAGCTGGGGGGGGCCAAAAACGGTTTCGCACCGAGACCAGAATACGGTGGTGTTTTCGACATTTTTCGAGGATTTTTGGGTGTCTGAGCGCAAGAGGGTATTGAAATGGAATTTTGGGTCATTTTGGTAGCTTTCCGGCAATGGAAAAACGGCCAAAAATGAAAAAAACATTGTACATAGCAAGATTTTGCAGGGTTTTTGGATGCCAGAGCATTGAAAACACTGCAAAAACAAGTGTTTTGGACTGACGTTATAGCAAAAAACGTGTAAATTACCGTATGCTTGACTGGAAACATTACAAAAACACTGTCAAAAGCAATGTTTTGGAAGGATTTACTGCCTTTATGGCAAAAAACGTGTAAATTACCGTCTGTTTGACTGGAAACATTGGAAAAACACTGTCAAAAACAATGTTTTGGAAGGATTTCTTATATATATGTTGGAGTTGGCTACCGGCATTGGCACATGGAAAAATTGAAGAAAACACTGTAAATAGCGGTATTTTCAACGGTTGGGGAGATAAGGGAATTGGAAGCATTGTCGAACATGATGTTTTCGACCGGTTTTATGGCGACAAAAGTGTAAAGTACCGTGCTTTGAAGGAAACCATTGCAAAAACATGGAAACACATTCAAAGAACACGGGATTTGGGGGACTATCTAGGCGTCGTTGTCTAGCTATTTGAAATTCCGCAGCTTGGAGAGCCTCCAAGGGAGGAAAAAGTGAAAATTCCATAGCTTGGGAAGCTGTCACGGCGGGGAAAAGTGAAAATTCCCTAGCTTGGGAAGCCCCCACGGGGGGGAAAAGTGAAAATTCCCTAGCTTGGGGAGCCCCCACGGGGGGAAAAGTGAAAATTCCCTAGCTTGGGGAGCCCCCACGGGGGGGAAAAGTGAAAATTCCCTAGCTTGGGGAGCCCCCACGGGGGGGAAAAGTGAAAATTCCCTAGCTTGGGGAGCCCCCACGGGGGGGGGAAAGTGAAAATTCCCTAGCTTGGGGAGCCCCCACGGGGGGGGAAAGTGAAAATTGTTAGCTTGGGGAGCCCCCACGGGGGAAAACGACCCTTAGCCCCTCTCACGGACCGAAATAAACCTGCGGTGTGGGCGGCCACCCCACGCGAAGCGGGGTGAATAAGAAAACCCTTGGTAAACCATAAGATTCCTATGGGGAAAGATTAGAAAATTAATGCTAAACCATCAATATTCGTATGAGGGAAGATGAGGAAACCACGGAAAAAACATCAGATTCCTATGGGAAAAGATATGAAAACCAAAGGTAAACCATCAGATTCCTATGAGGGAACAAGGAAACCACGCAAACCATCAGATTCCTACGGGAACAGATTAGAAAATTAGTGGTAAACCATCAGATTCCTTTCTGGGGAAAGATTTGAAAATTAATGGTAAACCATCAGAATCCCATGAGGGAATGAAAGAGAGCGACCTCTTCCCAACATGATAGGCCAACCCACAAAAAACCTCTGAAACCACTGTGTTTGGCAATAGCGCGGCTTCGACCTAATGAAAGCACAGGTCTTGCAATGAAAGAGAGTCACCTCTTCCCAACATGATGAGCCAACCCACAAAGAACATCTGAAACCAGTGTGTTTGGCAATAGCGCGGCTTCGACCTAATGAAAGCACAGGTCTTGCAATGAAAGAGACTCACCTCTTCCCAGCATGATGAGCCAACCAACAAAAAACCTCTGAAACCATTGTGTTTGGCAATAGTGCAGCTTCGACCTACTGAAAGCACAGCTCTTGCAATGAAAGAGAGCCACCTCTTCCCAACATGATGAGCCAACCCACAAAAAAACCTCTGAAACCAGTGTGTTTGGCAATAGTGCGCCTTCGACCTAATGAAAGCACAGCTCTTGCAATGAAAGAGAGTCACCTCTTCCCAGCATGATGAGCCAACCCACAAAAAATCTCTGAAACCAGTGTGTTTGGACATAGTGCGGCTTCGACCTACTGAAAGCACAGCTCTTGCAATGAAAGAGAGTCACCTCTTCCCAACATGATGAGCCAACCCACAAAAAACCTCTGAAACCAGTGTGTTTGGCGATAGCGCGGCTTCGACCTAATGAAAGCACAGCTCTTGCAATGAAAGAAAGTCACCTCTTCCCAACATGATGAGCCAACCCACAAAAAACCTCTGAAACCATTGTGTTTGGCATTAAAGCGGCTTCGACCTAATGAAAGCACAGGTCTTGCAATGAAAGAGACTCACCTCTTCCCAGCATGATGAGCCAACCAACAAAAAACCTCTGAAACCATTGTGTTTGGCAATAGTGCAGCTTCGACCTACTGAAAGCACAGCTCTTGCAATGAAAGAGAGCCACCTCTTCCCAACATGATGAGCCAACCCACAAAAAACCACTGAAACCACTGTGTTTGGCAATAGTGCGTCTTCGACCGTGAAGTAATTAGAGGCAAAGTCCAGAGGCAGGCAAAGGTAGCTAACATAACAGCAAGACATTGGCAGGGAAAATAAGCACAACACGCAAGCATTCAAGCCAGCTGTGTGCCACCCCCGGGCGGGAATCGAACCCGGGTCAAGCGGGCCAAAGCCTATTCTACATCACTAAGCCACGGAGGCTTGCCCTAAATGGCAAAAAAAGGCCTTATAGAACCAGTGACTGGGCCTGGAAGGGTTGCCGGAATCAAAAAGACAATGTGCAGCAGTGCAACACCCCCCTAACCCCCAAACAAACCCCCCAATTAACGAAACCCCCCCAAACCTTCCCCCAACCCTTTGACAGTGGCCTCCAGCTCACGAAAGGCTCTTGCAACGATAAAAAGTCAATGAGCCAAGAACCTCTGAAACCATTGTGTTTGGCAATAGTGCGGCAGTTCTTGCAATGAAAGGGAGCCACCTCTTCCCAGCATGATGACCCAACCCACAAAAAACCGCTGAAACCAGTGTGTTTGGCAATAGCGCGGCTTCGACCTAATGAAAGCACAGCTCTTGCAATGAAAGAGAGCCACCTCTTCCCAACATGATGAGCCAACCCACAAAAAACCTCTGAAACCACTGTGTTTGGCAATAGTGCGGCTTCGACGTGCTGAAAGCACAGCTCTTGCAATGAAAGAGAGCCACCTCTTCCCAACATTATGAGCCAACCCACAAAAAACATCTGAAACCACTTGGCAATAGTGCGGTTTCGACCTACTGAAAGCACAGCCCTTGCACTGATAGAGGGTGCCTTCTATCAAATTACGTCGTCGTAGTAGTCGTCGTAGTAGTAGTTGTATTAGTAGTAGCAGCAGTAGTAGTTGTTGTTGTTGCTGTTGTAGCAGTTGTAGTAGTTGTAGCAGTAGCAGCAGCAGCAGCAGCAGTAGTAGTAGTAGTAACTTAGTAGTAGTAGTAGTAGTAGCAGTAGTAGTAGTAGTAGCAGTAGTAGTAGTAGTGGTGGTGGTAGTAGTAGCAGCAGTAGTAATTAGTAGTAGTAGTAGTAGTAGTAGTAGGAGGAGTAGTAGTAGCAGCAGCAGTAGTAATTAGTAGTAGTAGTAGTAGTAGTCATTTGTAGTATTAGTAGTATTAGTAGTATTAGTAGTATTAGTAGTATTAGTAGTAGAAGAGGAAGAAGTAGCAGTAGTAGCAGTAGTAGCAGTAGTAGCAGTAGTAGCAGCAGCAGTAGCAGCAGCAGTAGTAGCAGCAGTAGTAGCAGCAGTAGTGGTAGTAGTAGCAGTAGTAGTAGCAGTAGTATTAGCAGCAGCAGCAGTAGTAGTAGCAGTAGTAAAAAGTGCCACATTGCAAAAGCAGACTTGCGAGGTGGATGAGGAAAGATCAGGCAATGTTGATGTAGTTGTTGAATTAAATCATTGCTCAATTGATTGCAATCTGAAGCACGCAATAGAAAAAAACTTATCGCGGCTGGGTGGGGTATGGTGGGGTTTACTAATTGGGGGGGGCGTCCTTGTATTTGTGGGGTTGACACCGCTCAAGGGGGGTAGCCTTTCTGAGCTCCCAAAAACAGCATTTTTTAATTAGATTCTAATTAGAAATCGATCATTTGGGGCAATTTGGGGGATGTTTTTTTTTTCAAATTTGGCGTCTTGAAATTGCCACATTGCAAAAGCATACTTGCGAGGTGGATGAGGAAAGATCAGGCAATGTTGATGTAGTTGTTGAATTAAATCATTGCTCAATTGATTGCAATCTGAAGAACGCATAGAAAAAAACTTATCGCGGCTGGGTGGGGTTTACTAATTGGGAAGGCGTCCTTTTATTTGTGGGGGTGACACCGCTCAAGGGGG